CAGTTGTTTCCGTTCTGGTGTGGGTTTTTAATGCTTGTGCGAATGTCTGTGCTGTAGACTGTTTGTTTTGTTGCGTCATCGAGATCACGTGATAATTCTCACGCCCTCTTGTTTCTAGAACTATCCCGTATCTTGGCGAATGCTCTAGTATTTGCTAGATAGGGTAGGCTGGTATATAAAAGAGGGGAATGTAATGTGTGTATGACAGTGAGTAATTGAACTGCAGTCAGAGAGCACGAGAGACGTTACAGCGTTTGTTTAGAGACGGAGACCAGTACGGAAGAAGACACGTCCCGTAAAATTAAGAGACTTTGTTGAATTGTAATTTTGTGTTTGTAATTCTGTACATTTTAATTAAGTTATTGTTATTGGTTTATCATATGTGGTTATTGTTCGGGACGAACAATATTAAGGAGGGGGCAGTGTTGCGTCAGCAAGTCACATGACCACCGTGACGCCACGTTTCTAGAACTATCCTGTAATTTGGCGAATGCTCTAGTAATTACTAGATATAGGGTAGGCTGGCATATAAAAGAGGGGAAGGTAATGTGTGTATAGATAGTGAGTAATTGAACTGCAGTCAGAGAGCACGAGAGACGTTACAGCGTTTGTTTAGCGCGATTGTTGAAGTTGAGTGTATCGGTAAAGTTATATTCGGAAAGAATAAACCAGTTTTTATTAAGAAAGAACTTGTGTCGCTTAAGTTTCGTCGGAACGAAGTTACGGAAAATCAATTAACGAAACGGAGTCGTAACAATATACTTACGAAATAAGGAGTTACGATTCATCTCCGGGTGTAACGTTCGAAACAGTTTATATTAGTAAGTACAAGGCTAAGTCAGTACGCTAATGGCTTATGAACAGACTTGGTTCACGAGAAGAAGGTATAGCTACAGTTTCCTTCAACTTTAGGTTTTAAAATTGTTCATATAAGATGGTATCGTTGCAGATTTAACATTGTTCACTGAAGACTGTATGGCTGAAGCCATGTCGAAAGCGCTAGGGTTTGACTTGACTGTTGTATAAACACGCTTA